CATATCATCGCTCGTTATAGTCGCTATGCAACTGGAATGGAGATACTGGACAAGCCAATGACAAGTATCCTGGATGCGTGCCGTCAGTGCTGGATGCAGTATGGACCTGCAAAGGTATTCTACTCCGATGGAGAGGGTGCCTTCAACAATGACATTGCGAAAGCAGTCCTTAAGGCATAGGGCACTGAACTAAGGATACGTGCGCGTGGAAAACGCGCTACGACGATCGAAGCCAGAAATGGCATACTGCGCCATGTACTTCATGTCATGAAAGCTGAACTCAACATATGAGACATACCTCCTGTGTTCACACGACTACTGCATGAAGCCCTGTTTGCCGCCAACGCGCTCACTTTCTATCATGAGGTGTCTCCACACGACGCCCAGTTTTGACGGCAACCGGCAATGCTCCCTGACTTGCCTATCCTGGATCACGAACAGCCGACGGAAACGTCGGATCACTTTCGTGCACAGATGATACGCGAGGTATGCATTGAAGCTATCACACAGGCCACTGCAGCAGCCCAGACCAATTGTGCATTGCGCACTAAGACAACTATCGCCGGTCAGCACTACTACGACGAAGGAGACTTAGTTGATTACCATCGCCCCACAACCACGAAGGACGATTGGGGAGGCTGGAATGGCCCATTACCGGTCGTAAGCAACGATCTCGACAGGGGCCGAGTCATCATTCGAGTGGGAAACCGCGACGTTCAGGTACAATACGGCGGTGCACAACATTCATTCTATATTGAAGCTTTGATAGCCAGAGAGATTGGCTCCGACAGCGCTGCACTACGGACAGTGTTGACATTCGTGGCCAGTTTGTCTTCGGGGAGACCTGCGATGACATTTTGCTATGTCCCGACCAAGAAGGGGGCGCGTCAGATGACAAGTGCAAGCCGACGATCCCCTAAGGTACACCTGGCTTTACAATACCTCATCAGAAAATTTTCCGCATCGAGAATGTATCTTCGGTTAGTTTAGCCAAGAGTGTCCACGAGCTACCTCCAGTGGCTTACGCTGATAGTTGCACATTGGTCCACTATGACAGCTATATAAATCTAGGATTTCCCTATTTGTGAAGCAGAAGGCACCGCTGTTAATATTAGAGATATAACATAACTCGATCAGCACATTCAAGAATCATCCAGTGGCTGAAGTCCACCAAGCCTCAAGCGGGCTCCGACCAGGATGTGGCAAAGTTTGAGGAATTGGCGGATATACCAACACAGGACGGAAGCGCAAGAGAAGCCCCAGAAGCCAAAACACCGCAGGAGGACGGACTGCTTTCCACGGTATATGAGGAATTGGAGGCGGATCTCGAGGCACATATTATGGAAGCGTGGTATACAGTACTCCATGATAAAAGGGGACAACTGGAGGCAACTCCACTAGCTGACCTTTTCGCAGCACCCACACATATGATTCCAGACAACAGCGTGCTGGTCACTGTATCTGAAGAACAGCGGGGACACGTGCCAAAGTGCGGACACCCACACGACTCCGACATCGAGGAGACGAATCATGTCCCATTGTGGTCCACGGTCGAAGATTGCAATTGCAAGCTGGAGAAAATTGGCAATATGTAGAACTCTGCTTTACGGCAGAAGTGTCAAAGGTAGTCCTGTCCGAACAACAGCACTGGATATAATATGCCGACCGTGTGACCACCATGCGAGTATATGTTGCCGCCGCTGCAAAGCGAGCTGCGGTCGTCAAGGACGACCACCTCCTCGCGAAGGCTGACATCCAGGCGAATCCCGAGAAGGTGTCGAAATCCCTAGACACTGAACTCAAGACATGGTTTGACAACAAGTGCTTCAAAGTGTAATATATATATATATGTATATATATATATATGCGTCAAACATCCTGAGAACGAGAAGGGCGATATGGAACGTGCCATCATATTGCGCCTGGTGCTTCGAGGCTTCGTGGACCTTCGACGTGGGAACCTTCTCGGGGACGGCGCGGTGGTCAAGCCAGAGACTACTCGCGAGCACGGCAGCGCGCAAGAATCAATGGATCGTTGCTTCCCTCGTCATCAACATGACCTTCCTGAAAGGGTTGACCTACCAGAAACTTGCTGAAGCAACTGGTGAGAAATAACGTGTGGTGTGCTTTACTCTGCCGCCCGGATCGGCTACGGTTCTTCGAACTCTTTCAGGATTCGAGCGCTACGACGAGTCGAAGCACTGCTTGCAGTGCCTCAAGCCAGGTACTGGCACCAAGGACGCACCTCGAACTTTCTCACTAAAACTCAAAAGGCCTACGGAGGTTTCGGTCTCAGACCCGCGTCTTACGACGAGGAGTTCGAGACGAGCAGCAACCTGTTCACGGCCAAACGTGTTGATGACATCAGTATGGCCGGTACACAGGACGCAATTGTCAAGTGCGTCAAGTGCGTAGAAGACACCTTTGGTAAGTGTAGACTCAACAAGCACACATGCACCAATTATGCTGTGATATTTACCAAGGATGAGGACGGCAGTGTGACGTTGGACCAAGACGAATACATCAAACAGCTTCGTCCTATACAACATTCTGAGCTTACAGGCGTTGGCGCTGGCGCCCAAGCATCCAAGATGCTTGCGGACATGTTCGTCAGCCTCAGAGGCGCACTGGCGCACGCATTAATCACCGGGTGTGCTTGACGGTGTGTGTTGCCTCTGTGCAACGCGTCCATAAACCGACCGACGTACAAGTGCGACGACAGACCGCGATTACCAGGAAACGACAGGCCTGCCCTGAGAAGATCGTCTACCAGGCGATGACTCCCACGGGCGAAGTTGACCTGCACAGCGACTCAGGTAATCGACGCCTGGGTGGAGATGCCGATGACGAAGTCAAAGGCTATTGTTTTCTCGGGGCAAACCTGCTACGGCATGGAAGCGCGCCATCTGGCAAGCCTGTCGTTCATTTGATCGATGCACGCTGCAAGTCTCACCGCCTGCAGGTCCGCTCGAGCTATTCAGCAGAGACGCTAGCAGCAGCCCGCAACTTGGAGGAGTGCTATCCCACGATCGCGACTCTGCGCGAGCTCCACGCAGGGCCGCTAACTCCCACTCAGTTGAAAGACATACTTGATTTGGGTTGCCTGAGCATCAAGGTCACTTTGACCAGAGAGGCAGAGTTTGTTTTAAAGTCTTTGTCAAGCAAAGACTTCAAGAAGCTGACAGAGTGTGCCCTTGTAGGACACATCAGCTGGATAGCTGGATACGACAGCTGACTGAGGGAGGAATCGTGCACAGTATTCAATGGTGCGACTCCCGCGATATGACCGCGGACGGTCACGCCAAGGGGATCATCGACAGAGAAATGCTCCTACAGGTCATGGGAGGCACGCATTCCTTCAAACATGATTTACAGCGTCACACTCCTATCGGGCTGGCCAGACATCTCGGCCCGTAGCCGCCTGAGGAGTACTCGTATGCACAGTAAAATGCAGACAAGGCAACTTGCGCGCGGGTCCACCTTCGTTATGGCCCCGCCCTTTTGCTGCCCTTTTGTACGTAGTAGCTGCTGTACCTGCTGCATAGCGGTGGCGGACTCACGCTTCGTCTTCCTCCCCCCACGACATCGATACCAAAATTGCTTGAGATGGCTCGCCTCCTACTATTGGGATTATCGTTACTACGGCACAGCAGAGCTGGAGTTTGGCTTCGCCTACGGCGAAGCTGTTGGTTGGGTCTCCCAGCCCTTTTCAAACTAGGGTTAGGGCTCGGGTTCGGGTTAGGGTTAGGGTGAGAGTTTCGGTCAGGGTTAGGGTTCGGGTTCGGCTTCGGGTGGGGTTTCGGTCAGGGTTAGGGTGAGGTATAGGTTTAGGGTCAGGGTGAGGGTTCGGGTTAGGGTCAGGGTCAGGTTAGGGTTAGGGCTAGGGTTAGGGTTAGGGTTTTAAGGTTAGGGTGAGTGGTAGGGGTAGGATGAGGGTTAGGTTTCGTATTAGGGTTCGGGTTAGGGTTAGGGTCAGGGTGAGGGTTATGGTTAGTGTTCGGTTTCGGGTTAGGTATAGGGCTGAAGTTAGGGTGAGGGTTAGGGGTATGGGGTAGGGTTAGGGTTGGGGTTTGGTATAGTGTTAGGGTCAAAGTCCGGGCTAGGGTTTGGGATCGGGTTCGTGTTTGGATTAGTGTCAGGGTTAGGATTAGGGCTCGGCCTCGGGTTTGGGATAGGGTTCGGGTGAGGGTTTGGGTCAAGGTTGGGGTTCGGGTGAGGATTTGGTTTGCCGTGGGGGGGGGTCCTCCTTTAGCGCGGGGGGGGAGAGAAAAAGAGAAAGAGAGAGAGAGAGAGAGAGCCTGGAGTGCCGGGGGGGAAGGGGGTGCCCCCCTTTTGTGCGGGGACGAGAAAAAGAGAGAGAGAGAGAGAGAGAGAGAAAAAAAGTAGAGAGAGAGAGAGAGAGAGAGAAACATAGAGAGAGAGAGAGAGAGAGAGCCTCGAGTGCCGTGGGGGGGGGGCCCTTAGCGCGGGGGGGGGGGGGAGAGAGAGAGAGAGCCTCGAGTGCCGTGGGGGGGGGGGTGCCCCCCCGTAGCGCGGGGAAAAAGGAGAGAGAGAGAGAGAGAGAGAGCCTCGAGTGCCAGGGGGGGTTTGCCTTTGAGAGCGCGAAGGGGAGAAGAGTTTCGAGTGCCGGTGGCAGGGGGAGGTTTCCTCTTTCGTGCACGGGGTGGAGAAAGAGTTTCGATTGCGGGGGGAGGGGGGAGGTCCCCCTTTTGCCCCCCCCTGTCTTCAGTGCGCATGGGGGGGGGCTCCCCCTTGAGGCCCCCCCACCGCGGTGGCTGAGCGTTTTTTTTTGTTGGATATCGCTCTCTCTAAGGTGTGGGGGCAGGGTGTAGGGGGCAGGGTGTAGGGGGCAGGGAGGAGGGGGAGGAGGAGGAGGAGGAGGAGGAGGAGGAGGGGGAGGAGGAGGAAGAGGAGGAGGAGGAGGAGGAGGGCGGGCGGAGGGTGGAGGATGGAGGGAGGGAGGAAGCCTCCTCGCTTGGGCTGCTGGTCCTCGCTGCGAGGTCTTGTCGGCGGCGGCGCAGGCCGAGGAGGCCCCCGGCGGGCCGAGTCCGGTCACGCAGCAGCCCGCCGCGCAGCCCCAGAGACTACTGCGGCGGCTCCCGTCGACGGCAGCGGCGACGGGCTCGTCGTCGGCCGAGCCAGCGCTGGGCGCTGGGCAGCTCGCCGAGAGCGCGGCCGACGCGCGCCCCAGCACGAGGTTGTCGCTGTGAGCGCGCTGGCGGGGCAGCGGGGCCCCGAGCCGTCCGGAGGCCGAAGAGAGCGCTGGAGAGCAACTGCACGGGGTGGGCGATGTTCGACGGGTGCGCGCGGGTAACGGGGTGTGCCGGTGCTAGACAGCATTAAAGAACCTCCCGGACAGCAAAGGAGCATTCTAGCACACCCACGCCGTGCAGGCACGGTGGCGAATCATATTACTTGCGTTGTATGCCGATTGTGATGTTTTGCGCCGTAGTGTGTGCGCTGTGTCCATACGCCTGGAGACGTCTCCAGGCATCCAGATACAAAATAGTGTCAGACTCCGGAGACTCGGCACCTCAGAGAATATCTTCTCGCCGCTCACAGTTTACTCCGGGGGGCCCCAGCCAGAGAGGCCTCCAAACTTAAGAACGGCGCTCTCGCTTGCAATTCAGTCAAGTTGGTGGAGGACCAACTGCGGACGACGACGGCTCTCGCTCGTTACGTCCTTACGAATTTTCTCCGAGACGCTCTTGCCAGAGAGGCCCGACAACTAAGGAACATCGGTCTCGTTTGAGATTCACTTGCAATTTAGTCAACTTGGTGGAGGTCTAACTACGACGATAAAGGTTCCCGCTCGATAAATCCTCGCGATTTACTCCGAGACGCCCTGGCCAGAGATGCCCCCAAACTCAGGAATGGCCTTCTCGTCCAGGACGTCCTCGCAACTCAGGCAAGACGCTGAGTATTTCTACGAGAGCAAACGCCCCTGCACACCACCAAAAGGGGTGTGGCCCATAGACTTCGAGGGTGGGTACAAGGGAGAGGGATGCACAGATGACCATCAAAGGAGCTTACCATTTCACGTGTTCGCCAGAGCTGGTCGTTGTCGCAGGGCGCCGCAACATCGCCGCCGAGCAATCGATGCCGCTTTTCGACCCCCTCTTCCCAAGTCCTCCCTCTCCTTTCGCGTCCTCGTTCCCCTCCGCCGTCCATCCCCCGTTCTCCTTCTCCCATTTCTCTCCCCCTGCCTATCCTCTTCCTCCTCCTCCTCCTCTTCCTCCTCCTCCTCCTCCTCCTCTTTACTTTCTGCTAGATGTCGAAGTATTAGCTGAGGTTGGCATTGACGCTGCCGCCATCTCCGACGCTCGGCATGATCAACAGCCCAGTATTCCTGAACATGTTTTTCGTGACCCTCGCTACGGAGAGATCCTTGGACAACTTCTCGATGCGGCTCAAATTGATCGATCTTCAGTTGTGTACTAATGGCGTTGCATGACAGACTTCATGACGGAGGCTGCCCGTCAGATCCGTGACGAACTACAGCGACTTCCGACCTCGGCCAAAGACTCCCGTGCCAAAGGAGGACGTATCATCACCCTGAGAGCAATATCCAAATGTGTCTGGCGCAACGACATCTACACGGCCCAGAAGCTGAAGGCCACCACCGCCGACGGCGCGCGCTTCCTACGCGTGACCAACGGCACCGTTGAGCTCCTCGACAGGCAGGAGTTCACCCTCATTGTGCGCGCCGCCAACTACGAGTTCGGACAGATGGAGGCCAGACTTGCTGAAAGCAGGGCGTCCAAAAGGGGAGGGAGCGGTGGTCGAGGATGAGAGACGAGCGGCGAGGATGCACAAGAGGCGCTCTACTCTCTGGGCCCCCAAGGCTCATCGTCTCGTTCTCGCAGGGATCAGACCCGAAAGCCTGCATGAGTCCCCGGCTGTGGCCAGGGATCCCGAGCAGCTTGCATCCGCTCTGACCTCCCATTGGAAGCCCATCTTCGGCGCCAAAGCAGTTCAAGAGGAGGCCCCTCAGGAGTACCTCGACAAAGTTGCCCCTCAGCAAGACTTCTTACCTCTTAGATTTCCAACCGAATCCGAACTAGGACATGCCCTTAAACTTGCCCGGCGGTCAGCCCCTGGTCCTGATCAACTTTCTTACGCGGCATGGAAAGCTCGACCCGGACAACTAGTTGTCCTGCATAAACTTATGACATATCTGTACGGCGGCCGTGCGGTACCCTTGGAGCTCAATGATCGCCTCTTCGCTTTTCTTCCCAAAGGTTCGGAGCCCGAAGATGCCCCGGGGTGCGTGCGGTCCCCAGGGAAGGTTCGTCCGCTTAGCCTCAGGAGTACGGACACTGAGATCATGGCCTCTGCCACCAATTTCCAGATCCGTCAGGTTGCCCAAGAGCGCACCCACGAGGCTCAACAAGGTTTCATCCCAGGGCGTAAGATCTCGTCCAACATCATCTCGTTGGACGCCGAGGCCAGCAAGGCCAGCGTCCCTCCCGAGGCAGAGGAGGATCTCCCGATCTTCGCCGCCTACGATGTGGAGGCGGCGTTCCCGTTTCTTGGCCGCCAGCGGTTGTTCGAGATTATGAGTAGGACTGGGCGCCCGCCAGGTTTCCCGAACTTGATCCGTGCGTTATACGTTTTACCCAGAGGCTTTGCTAACATTAGAAATCGAATCGTTTTCCTGTTTCATCTGTGCTCGAGGGTCCTGCATGGGTGCCCTGTTTCTGGCCCCCTTTGGGCTCTTGCAATGGATCCCAGCCTTCGATCCCTGCGCGCAGCTACAAAGCTCCCGCAGGCGAGGCGCCGCAAGGGCTCTTTCGGGGGTTGTGCTGACGATGTCGGGATGGTGGTGCCTCGCCTTCGAGACCTGGTCAGTGTTTCCCGCGTTTTCCTGGACGTGGAGCGTTTTGCCTTTCTCAGGCTCCAAGGGACCAAACGCGTTCTAGCCCCATTGTGGACCGAGTGCACGGACGTTGTCCAGGACAGGGTCCGAAACGAGTTCCGTAGGTGGATCCCGCAGTGGGCCAACTTTAAAGATCGCTGGCCATGCGGTCCACCTAGGGGTTGGAATGGGCCCCGCAGCCACACTTATCATGATCTGGGCTACCGCAGCAGAGAAGTGGTGGTCGAGGACGATTGATCTGCCACAGTCTGGAGTTGGCCCGCCTGTTCTTTCAGTTCTGTATATCACCACCGCCCTCTCGACCCTTTCGTACCTCGCCCAACTGTTTCCTATCCATGATATGATTCGCGAGCTCGAACATGAAATTTTGCACGAGCTGGTCCGGCTGCCGCCGAACAGCCTCAGTCTTGCTGATCTGAACGCCCTGCCATCGTTGCTCGCCAGTGCCCCGTCCTCTGTCTCACTGCTTGGATGGGCTAGCAGCTGGCGCACCTCATGTCGCACAATGAATCACATATGGCAGCGCGCGCTGCACAGCTTAAGAATATGCTCAAGACAAATGCTCAGCGCCCTGCTGGAAGCGCTGTTTCTCGATTGCGCAATTAATTCATGGAGCGAGCGAGGCTTCCGCCCCCCCTCTTCCCATATAAGCTCGGGTGGCGCGCGGCGTTTCGCGCGGCGCGCGAGCGCGCCAAGCTAGCTCTGCAGGGGGCCCATCGCCCGCGCCCACAGCGCATCTTTGCACGCGCGCTTCGAGCAGCCGCTTTCCCTGACTCATTCTCTAAGACGTTGGGTAAAACGCTTCTCGCGTGGCAGGTCCCGACTCCAGGGGGGCTGAGGTCGGTGGTCGGACGGTGGGCTCTCTGTCGGACCTGCCTCGCGAGTCCCAAGCCTGCGTGGCAATGGAGTGTTCTCAAGACCCTCCTGCGGAGCGTGGACGACCCCGCACAAACTGCACATGGGCACCACTCCCACGAGCTGCATCTGAGGCTGCGCAGAGCCCGACGAGATTGCGCACGACCTGCGTTGCTCGAGAATGCATCACCATTCAGCAATGCACCCTGCCTGGAGAAGGCGCCATTTTCCAGGCTCGCCGATTGCATTGTTGGGACTGGGGGCGGCGTCTGACTACGGGCGGGCGTGATCGGAACACTCGCGCGAAGCATGCTTGAAGGCGGTCGCCTTGGCATTCCACATGTATCACAAGGCGAAGGACTTTGCTCAGAAGACACCAATGTCTCGTGAGCGCGCATGCGACATTCGAGGTGCTGCAGAGCTGGCACTCGAGCGGTGAGATGGGATCATCGAACCCGTGCTCTGTCTTTCTCTCTATTGTGTGGGTGGTGGATTGGCCTGGATGCGGGTTCTGGGGTGGCGGGGGGGGGGAGATCGAGGCACTTGAGGCGTCGGCATGCTGCGGTCGACGACTCTCCCGCAGTGCCCTGTGCCTCTCAGCTCTTTCTTGAATCTGGTCTGCTTCGGGCGCCATCTTTTTGCGGGCTCTGCTGGTGGCGGAAGTGGCAATGGGTTGCGACGCCCCTTCGGGAGGCCGAAAATGGACCCAAGCGCCACCCAGCAGGAGCCCACTCCCCCTCCGTCGATGCATTCGCGTCGGCCGAGGGCGAGGCCAGCGGTCGGACGGACCTTCTCGGGTACGTCGTCTTCTCCCCCTCCTCTTCGTCCTCCTCCTCCTCCTCCTCCTCCTCCTCCTCGTCCTCCTCCTCCTACTCCTACTCCTCCTCCTACTCCTCCTCCTCCTCCTCTTCCTCCTCCTGCCCCGGAGGGGCACCCCCATAAGCGGGGTGTCGGGCCAAAATGCCCCCTGGTGCAGGCGGGGAGCACTGGGCCTTCGGGGCCCAAGCCCCCGCGCCCGGGCGTTCCTTCCCGGGGGGCTGCCAGGTCCCGTGACCTCCCCCAGGGCGGTGCGGGAGTTCACTCCCCGCACTCGCCGCCTTGGGGCGGGACTGGCGGTCCTTCTCCACGTCGTGTCGTGTCGTTGTCGTTGTCGTCGTCGTCGTCGTTTCGTGGGTCCCGGGGTCGGGGTCCTTTTTTTGCCCTGCCCCTTAGGCGTGCGGGTGGCCCTTCCGTTTCGGCCTCCCCCGTGGGGGCGGCTCCGTTCGGTTGAGGCCTCCCGCCTGCCCGTGGGGCGGGGCCTTTTCCCCGTCGCGCGCGGGCGGTCTCGCCCGTCGCCCGCGTGGGCGGGGCGCCGCGGCCGCGCCGTCGGCCGTGCGCGACACGGTGTGAGCTGCCGCGCGCGGTGGAAAAAAATCCTCATCCTCCTCCTCTTCCTCCTCCTCGTCCTCCTGGTCCTCCTCCTCCTCCTCCTCCTAGGAGGATGGCGCTCAAACACTTTGAATATCGAGGACGCCGGCGGTGCATCGCCGGCCGCTCCTGGGGAGTTTGGGGAGGTGGCGCTCAGCATCGAGAGTCGTGACGCGGCGCGCATGCCAGCTATCATTGCTGGAGACTGGGTGCCTGAAGGCTTTTTCTAAGTATCGAAGACGCCTACGGCGAATCACCGCCGCCCCCTGCCTGTATTGGAAGCGCCTATGTGACCGAACGTTCTGGCCAGAGCTCGGCCACGCTATCGGACTGTGTGTTCCCCCAGCCGTTGTGGGAATTTGTCGGGGAACACTTGGGGGAGGAAGAGGAAGAGGACGAGAGGGAGGAGAAAGAGGGAGGACGAGGAGGTGGCATATTGGGAGCTTTTTGGGCAATCTCTGGGCCTCCTGGGCGCCTCCTGGGGGCCTCTTGGGGGGTCTCTTGGAGGCCTCCTTGGGCCTCTTTGGGGGCGGGCGTTGTGCAGTTTCCGTTCGTCGTGGATGTCCCTGGCCCGCCTGACGCCGTCGGAAGCCGCCTTTGAGCTCCCTCGTTTTGGAGGCCGAGGAGGAGGAGGAGGAGGAGGAGGAGGAGGAGGAGGAGGAGGAGGAGGAGGGGCGCCCGACCACGAGGGGAGTGACCCAGTTCGTCATCGTCATCGTCAGCGTCATCATCGTCATCATCATCGCCATCGTCATGATCCACATCATCATGAGCATCGCCATCGCCGTCGTCAGCGCCGCGCCACTCGCACGGTTCGTGGTCCCATAGGTAGCTCCACCGAAGGCCCCAATGGCAGGGTCCGCATGGCGGCGCCGCCCCATTTTGGCGCACCCCTTCACGCGGTTCGTGGCCCCATAGGGAGCTCCACCGGGGGCCCTAGTGGCAGGGTCCACATGGCGGCGCCGCCCCGTTTTGGCGCACCCCTCACACGTTTCGTGGCCCCATCGGAAGATCCACCGGAGGCCCCAGTGGCAGGGTCCGCATGGCGGCGCCGCCCCATTTTGAGGCACCACTCGCACGGTTCGTGGCCCCTATTAGGGGTTCCACCGAAGGCCCCAGTGCGCACACCTCACACGGTTCGTGGCCTCATAGGGAGCTCCACCGGGGGCCCTAGTGGCAGGGTCCACATGGCGGCGCCGCCCCGTTTTGGCACACCCCTCACACGGTTCGTGGCCCCATAGGGAGCTCCACAAAAGGCCCCAGTGGCAGGGTCCGCACGGCGGCGCCGCCGTATTTTGGCGCACCCTTTACACGGCTTGTGGCTCCACAGGGTGTTCCACCTAAGGCCCCATTGGCGGGGTCCGCATGGCGGCGCCGCCCCATTTTGGCGCACCATTCGCACGGTTCGTGGCCCCATAGGGAGCCCACCGAAGGCCTTAGAGGCAGGGTCCACATGGCGGCACCGCCCCGTTTTGGCGTACGACTCGTACGGTTCGTGGCCTCACAGGGAGCTCCACCGAAAGCTCCAGGCTCCAGTTGCAGGGAACCCTAGGGAGCTTCACCGAAGGCCCCAGCGGCAGGGTTTGCATGCGTCCCCCAGCCCATTTCGGCACACCCCTCACGAGGATCGTGGCCCCATAGGGAGCTCCATCGAAGGCCCCAGCGGCAGGGTTTGCATGCGTCCCCCCGCCCATTTCGGCACACCCCTCACGAGGATGGTGGCCCCACAGGGGATTCCACCGAGAGCGGTACCCACAACGCAGTACTCACAGCTGCATATGGGTGGGTCCTTCGCCAGGATGATTGAAGAGACGATCCCCGCGTTCCTCTCTTCCCCTCTCCTCCTCCTCCTCCTCCTCCTCCTCCTCCTCCTCCTCCTCCTCCTCCTCCTCCTCCTCCTCCTCCTCCTCCTCCTCATCCTCCCTCCTCCCGTCATCATTATCATCATCGTCGTCATCGTCATCGCCAGTAGCATTATCGTTATATCCATCAGCATCGTCATCATCATCGCCACCATCATCGCCATCAGCTTAGGCATACACCTCAGTTTCGTGGCCCAGGAGGGAGCTCCATCTAGGGTACCAGTGGCGCAGTTCGCATGGCGGCGCCGCCCCATTTTGGCACACCTCTCACACGTTTCGTGGCCCGATTTGGAGCTCCACCTAAGGTCCCAGTTGCGAAGTTCGCATGGCGGCGCCGCTCCATTTTGGCACACCCCTCACACGCTTCGTGGCCCCATAGGGAGCTCCATCTAAGGTCCCAATGGCGCAGTTCGCATGGCGGCGCCGCCCCATTTCGGCACACCCCTCACACGTTTCGTGGCCCCGTAAGGGGGCTCCATCCAAGACCCCAGTGGTGCAGTTCGCATGGCGGCACCGCCCCATTTCGGCACACCCTCACACGTTTCGTGGCCTCATAGGAGCTCCATCGAAGGTGCCAGTTGCGAAGTTTGCATGGCGGGGCCCCACAGGGAGCTCCACTTAAGGTTCCAGTAGTGCAGTTCGCATGGCGGCGTCGTCCCAGTTCGGCACACTTCTCACACGCTTCGTGGCACCAGAGGGAGCTCCACTGAAGGTCTCAGTGGCGCAGTTCGCATGGCGGCGCTGCCCCATTTTGGAACACCCCTCACACGTTTCGTGGCCCCACAATAGGGGACTCTACACCAGGCCCCAGTAGCAGCGCCCGCATGGCGGCCCCGCCCCATTTCCGCACACTCGTCACGCGCTTCGTGGCCTCATAAGGAGATCCACCGAAGGCGCTATTAAGAACGACGGTATCTTTGAAGAGATGCTCAGCGCATTCCTCTCCTCTCCTCTTCTCCCTCCCTTCCTTTTGGCACACCACTCACACGCTTCGTCGCCCCATAGGGAGCTCCATCTAAGGTCCCATTGGCGCAGTTCGCGTGGCGGCGCCGCCCCATTTTGGCACACACCTCACACGGGTCGTGGCCCCATAGGGCTTAGTTCGCATGGCGGCGCCAGCCCATGTGGGGGCACCCCTCACACGCTTCGTGGCCCCATAGAGAGCTCCATCTACGGTCCCAGTGGCGCAGTTCGCATGGTGGCGCCGCCCCATTTCGGCACACCCCTCACACGCCTCGTGGCCCCAGAGGGAGCTTCACCTGAGGTCCCAGTGGCGCAGTTCGCATGGCGGCGCCGCCCCATTTTGGCACACCCCTCACACGCCTCGTGGCCCCATAGGGAGCTCCACCCAGGGTCACAGTGGCGCAGTCCGCATGGCGGCGCCGCCCCATTTCGTCACACCCCTCACACGTTTCGTGGCCCGATTTGGAGCTCCACCTAAGGTCCCAGTGGCGCAGGCGGCATGGCGGCGCCGCCCCATTTTGGAACACCCCTCACACGTTTCGTGGCCCCATAAAATGGGACTCTACACCAGGCCCCAGTAGCAGCGCCCGCATGGCGGCCCCGCCCCATTTCGGCACACTTTTCACGCGCTTCGTGGCCCCATAAGGAGACCCACCGAAGGCGCTATTAAAACGACGGTATTCACAACTGCATATGGTTGGGTCCTTCGCCAGGCGAATTTGACAGGGATGGTGGGGAGGCGCATCGGGCTGGCCGCGCATGCTCTAAATATGGAGGCAGACTGCGGCTTGTACTGTTCCGAACCATCCTGTGGTGTTGGGTCTTCGTTTTGAAAAGACCGGTCCCCGCGTTCTTCTCCTCTCCTCTCCTCTCCTCCTTCTTCCCCTCCTCCCTCCCTCCCTCCCTCTTGGCACTCCCTCACACGTTTCGTGGCCCCATAGGGAGCCCCACAAGCTCCCAGTGGCGCAGTTCGCATGGCGGCGCCGCCCCATGTTGGCACACCCCTTACACGTTTCGTGGCCCCATCGGGAGCTCCATCTAAGGTCCCATTGGTGCAGTTCGCATGGCGGTGCCGCCCCATTTTGACACACACACACACACACACCTCACACGCTTCGTGGCCCCATAGAGAGCTCCATCTAAGGTCCCAGTGGCGCAGTTCGCATAGCGGCGCCCGCCCATTTCGGCAGACACCTCATACGTTTCGTGGCCCTATTGGGAGCTCCACCTAAGGTCCCAGTGGCGCAGTTCGCATGGCGGCGCCGCCCCATTTCGGCACACTTCTCACACGCCTCGTGGCCCCAGAGGGAGCTTCACCTGAGGTCCCAGTGGCGCAGTTCGCATGGCGGCGCCGCCCCTTTTTGGCACACCCCTCACACGTTTCGTGGCCCGATTTGGAGCTCCACCTAAGGTCCCAGTGGCAGTGTTCACATGGCGGCGCCGCCCCATTTTGGCACACGCCTCACACGCTTCGTGGCCGCATAGGAAGCTCCCCCGAAGACGATTCTCAAGACTTGGTTGTGCGTCGCACGTGATTGCTTTGAGGTTCTTTAGATGTTGCAGCCCTCCAGCAGCCCCCCATATCGCTGCTGGGGCTCAAGCTTTTCAGCGGGTATGCGAGCCTACCCGACCAGCGCGATAGGCGCCGTGGTCACGTTCCTGGCCGGGTTCGTGGCGCACGACGTGCTGGGGCCCGCGCTGGTGCACGAGGCGAGCGGCCTGCCTCCGCGCAGCGGGCCGGGCCACGAGCTGGAGGCCAGCTCGACGAGCAGCACCTCCACGAGCACCAGCACCGTGCTGGCTTGCTCGTGCCCGGCGCCGACGGCGCCGAAAGAGCCCGAGCCGGCGCCGCTTCGAGTGGCGGGCGCGGGGCCCGGCGCGACCGTGGAGGTGCCGCTTGCCGTGGTGCTGGGCGGCGGGGCGCTGGCGACGCTGGCCGCTGCTGCTGGCTGCTGGAGCCGAGTGGAGGACCAAGCAGTGGCACGCAAGGTGCTCGAGCCGATAGGTGAAGCTCGGATCCACTTGGCCTAGTTCCAGTGACGATGGCTGACGACAATACTTGCCCTGGGCTCAGGGTGCTGGTGACGTACAGTGACGACCCGGGCTGGACGCACGAACGAGTATTATTGTGGCCTCACACTGAGGCTCGCACGAGTTGGCAGATCTACACGCCTGGCAACGATTTATACGCCGAGGACTTCGGCGACTACGCCTCGCTTATCCCGATGACGGGGCGGAGGCGGTATCCGCCGGGCGTCAGGAACGTGGTGGCGTTCAACAGGGAGCTGCAGGCGGCTGAGCTGGTCTCGCTCATCAAACGCGGTCGAGGCGAAGCCGTCCTCGAACACGGGCCGCCAGCGAACGGCTGGTGGGCCGGCGCTGGCCAGGATTGGCTCGGAGGCATGCTGGACATCCCCGCGCCGACGGCCGTGGAGGTCCCTCGCGTGCGGCGCCGCCTGCGCAAGAAGGGCGCGGAGGTGCAGACCGACCTCCCTGTGCTCGGTGACGGAAGCCCGCCGCCCCCGCCGCCGCCTTCGGAGCGGCCGCCAGGATCGTGGGTGCGTTGCTCGTTCGAGGACAGCGACTTCGGCCAGATGGTGCCCCTCTCAGCGGCTGCCATCCTGCGAGGCCGCTACGGACTCGACAAGGATGAGATGGGCGAGTGGCGGCTCAAAGAATATGTGGAGGACGATCAGGCCGACAGCTGGCGAGACGACAAGCTGGTGGCGGCGGATCGGCAGCGGCCACCCCGAGGCGCCCTTGGGGATCGGCTCTTCGGCGGTGGCGGAGGCGGCACCGCAACGCCCCCTGGGGAGCCCACGGTTGCGGCCGTCGCAGCTGGCACTGGCGAGGAGCAGGCCGAGGATCTGCGCACGTGCTGGATCGACGTTGACGAGACAGGCTCGAGGTTCAAAGAATGGCGCAAGGTGGTGCAGGAGAGCACGCAGGAGGTGTTCTCGGACTCGAGCCTGCGCGGTCCGCCTGCTTGCCTGGAGGTGTGCCGCAAGATGTATCGTCACGGCGGCACGCCCAAGATCTGGTTCCAGGAGTGGTGCAAGGAGACAGGGATCTCTCGACGGGATCGCGCATACCACGAGGTGCAGACACTCATCGAGTGCTTGTACCTCGCGGGCACCTACGACCAGGTGAACATGGGAGCGCTGGCGTCGCTGGAGGTGATCGCCCGCCGGCTGCTGCAGTATGCGGAGGCGTACGCGCACGGTGCGGACCACGCGAACTGGGCGGCGGCGAAGCACCTGGCGGGGACGACGAACCCGCTGGACCTGGTGCCCGAGGCGCTGCGGAGCTACGCCGGCCGGCTGAGCAAGGAGGAGCACGAGCTGGAGGCGTTGCGGGCGCGGGCAAAGACGCCTGCGGCCTTTTCGGCTGAGGGCGGTCGTGGCGCTGCGGCTGCCGCGGTGGACGCTGGCGGCTTGCCGCTCGGAGGCGGCGGTGGAGGTGGCGGAGCTGGAGATGCTGCTGATGCTGGCCGTGGCCGAGGCCGAGGCCGAGGCAGGCGGGGCCGTGGCGCCCGCCCGCCGGACTCATGACGTCCTTGGCGGAGGGGGGCGGGCGCCCGACCGCTCCCTGCAGATCGAAGGGCACCAGTGGGCTACGCGGCGCTTCCTTCTTGCCGCTGGCCTACCTGAGCGAGCTGCCTCCCGAGTGGTGCGAGGGGCTCAGCGCGGCGCAGCGCCGGCGCTGGCTTCGGGACGGCAGCGCTGCTTGCGAAAGCTTGAATTACTTGCATGGAGGCATCCACCGAGGATCGGGCACCAGCGAGCTTGACCAGCCAGATGAAGATGGATGATATTTCGGCGGACGTGCAGCAGCGCGTCTTCTCGGTGGCTCGCCAGTGGATGGACGTTGACAGCGCCGTCAGCGAGGAGGAGGCCCTTGCCAGGCTTCTTAAGGGCAAGGCGGGGTATGCCCCCCTTGGCTCGACCAGCATGGGCTCCTACGAGTACTCGCGGGTGAGCTTGCCAGACAGCGTCGTCGACGCGCCGTCTCTGGCCACCATGCCCCCTGCGCAGGCAAAGCAATACCTCGAGGAGTTTGCTTCCAGAATGCTGCTACCGCCTCGGGAAGCAGCCCTAATACGAGAACATGATGGGCTTCCTGGTTGTCACACCGACCCTCTGTTGCTGCAACGGCCGCGGAGCTATGGGAAGTTCGTGCGGCGAGCGCTCTCGATAGGTCTAGTCACTTTGACACGGGTGCCTAAGAGCGTGCTTGGATTATTGTTTGTGAAGAAGAAGGATGGGGCTCGCCTTCGCCTCATCGTCGACTGCAGGCAAAGCAGCGCCCTGTTCCGCCTTCCTCCTGGGGTCGACTTGCTGTCGGGCGAGGGGCTCGGCCGCATAGAGATGCCCATCATGGAGGTCTCCGACTTCGCCGGGCTCTGCGCGGTGCTTGGCGTGGGCGACGTTGCCGACTGCTTCCGCAGGATGAAGCTGCAGGGCGACATCAGGCACTATTTTGGCTGGCCGCCGCTGGATGCTGCTTTGACTGGAGAGACACTGGTCGAAGGGCGCCCTGTGCACGCTGGCGAGCAGGCGTGGCCGATGAGCCAGAGCCTGCCAATGGGCTTTTCGTGGTCCCTGTACTTCGCCCAGGCCGCCAACCAGTGCAGGCTCGATCGACAGCCGTCGTTAGCGGGTAGCCTGCGTCTGAGCGATCGCGGGCCGCCGCTTGTCCTTGGACAAGGTGCCGCGGGCTCGGAGTTGGGCCACTACATGTACGTCGACAGTGCTGGCGTGATTGGTTTCGACGCAGCGCGTGTGACATGCGCGCTGCAGGAGGCACAGCGCGACTTCGATGGCGATCACTTGAAGTTCCACGAGGTGGAGGTGTTGCCTGAGGGAGGTCGCACCCTGGGCTGCTATCTCGACGGCAGGCGCCGAGCGACCCGCCCTACTGACGAGAGGTTCGCCATGGTGCGGAAGGGGTTGAGGTGCCTGTTGAGGAGACGCAAGGTTGCCGGCTGGCAGCTGGAGATGGTGCTGGGCCACATGACCTTCATGGCCCTGGTTCGCCGCGTAGTGTTGTCCATCTTCCACTCGGTATACGCTTTTGTGGCGCAAAGCTACCACGCCTTCTCCGTGCTGTGGCCCACCGTGCGCGATGAGTTGAACTGCTACGTGGGCATCATGGTGATGCTGGAGTCGAGCTGGACCAGGCCGTGGACGCCAGTGGTCTACTCCTCCGACGCCAGCCTGTACGACGGCTACGGCGTTGCGGAGGCCTGCTTCGGGACCGAGACGGTGGCGGAGATTGGCCGCGTTTCGGAGTTGGCGCGGTGGCGGCTGGGTGCTGGGCTGGCGAGGCAGCATGCCTTCGAGTGCGCTGGCTTCCTCTTGGACAGCGAGACCGGCGAGGTCGTCCGAGATGAGGCGGGGGTCCCGAAGCGGCTGGACGCCGAGCTCCAGCGCGTGCTGGCCAGCGAGCGCTGGGAGCTGGACCCGAGCTTCCCCGAGGTGCCCAGCTGGCTCCTGCACGACTCGCATTGGGCCACGGTCATGGCCGATCGGTGGGCCTTCGCCGACGATATCCTTAGACTCGGGGCACGAGCGTTGGTGAAGGCTGCAGCTCGTGCCGCGCACTGTCAGCCTGTAAAAGAATGCCGCTCTCTTTTGTTGGGAGATAATCTCGCTGTCGTGTTGTGTTTTTGCAGGTTCAGGTCCAGGGATTTCCGGCTTCTAATTCAGGTCCGCCGCTTCGCTGCCCTGCGCCTTGCTAGAGACATTAAGTTTGTTGTTCGTTGGATTCCGTCTGAGTTCAATTCTGGCGACGAGGGAAGTCGAAGATTCGATCCAGCTTATGATGCCCAGAAGTCCCTCGTTACCCATCTTGGCTCAAACTCGTTGTCACCCCAGGTTCCTGCGAGCCCTGTCGATGCTCCCGCGGCGGGGGCCCGTGGCAGGAGAGAGCAGTCGGCGGCGGGCGCTGAGCCGAACTGCGGTGCCGACGCCAGCCGCCCCGCTCGAGACGGGCCGGAGGCGGACGCGGGCGCTGAGCAGCCCTGGTCGCCGACTGGAGTCAGGGGGGCCGCCGCCGGCGCAGAGGTCCCGCACGCTGGACCAGAGCCGCGGGCTGGCCGCGAGGCTGGTGCTGGAGGGCGCTGCCCGACCGCCGCAGCAGAGCTCAGTAGAAGCTTGCTTGCGGCTGAGCCCCGACGAGCCGCGCCAGGCCGACAAGGCCGTTGCAGGCCACGGGGTTGCCGAGGTCGCGGCGGAGAGCGAGAGCGTCGAGAGCAGCGACGCCGAGGAGCCGCCGGCTGCTGCGCGTTCCCGAAGGCGTCTGGAGACGCGCGGGAAGGCGCGGATCAGGAAGGCGATCGAGGTGCTCGAGACCGCGGAGTCGGGCAGGGACGACGTGAAGCTGGGCATCAGCTACCTCGAGAAGAGATCGGTGGGCGCAGGCACTTTGGAGACCTACCGCCAGTGCCTGCTCGCATTCTGCGTCTGGGCCCGCTGCTGCCTCACGGCCCTGCCCGAGCTCAAGGAGCTGGACGGCCAGCTGGTCGAATACATGAACGAGGAGTTCTTGAAGGGCGTCAAGGCCTGGCGGGGCGAGAAGCTGCTCGCTGGGCTGATGTTCCCCCACCCGGACTTCGGCCGCCTGGGCGGGCTGCGTCTACCGAGGTCATTGCGCTGCCTGAAAGGGTGGAAGAAGCTTTCACCATCTCGATATCGGAAGCCCTTGGTGTTCGCGATCTGGGCGGCGTTGGCAGTGGAACTCTGCCGCCTGGGGGCGCCTCTAGTAGGCGCGATGGTGCTGATCATGGTAGAGTGCTACCTTCGGCCAGGAGAGATGCTGAGCCTCACGAGCGATTCATTTCTGGCGCCGACGGAGCATGCAGTGCAGAACTGGGTTGTATGGCTGTTTCCAGAGGCTGGGGTGGCTCGGAGCAAGGTGGGGTCAGCGGACGACACCATCCCTTGCGATTCAGGACGTTGCCCGTGGATGTGTCACATCTTCAAGGCCTTGAAGGATCGTCAGTCATCCCGGCCCCTCCTGGACTTGGGCTACCCGCAGTTCCTGACCCTCTTCCGGAGAGCGGCCACGAACATCGGAGCCGACGTCGTCCCATACCAAGGCCGGCACAGCGGCGCATCGCTGGATCGGGCAACGGGACGACGCTCTCTGGAAGAGGTGCAGAAAAGAGGGCGATGGGCGGCGATGAGTTCGGTGAAAAGATACGAAAAGTCAGGACGACTGAACGAGAGCTGGGAGAAGCTGGGCGACGCCTCCAAGGCACACTGCGCCGCGGCGGCGAGGCTGCTGCAGGAGGTGCTGCTGCTGGGACGGCCCGCGCTTGTGCCGCCGTTCGGCGGCCGCGAGGGCTCTCGCGGGCTCCGCTGAGCTCGCAACTGGCCGCTGTTTCTGCGCCGTATCTGCTGGATCTCTTTTCTGGTGGAGGCGGAGTCGGAGGCTTTGCCACGCGACTTGGTTTCAATTCAGTGTCGTTGGACCTGCGAAATGGGGGGGATCAGGATGTGTGCAGTGCCAATAATCTAGATGCGATTCTCGTCCATTTTTAAGCTGGGCTCATCAAAGCAGTCATGTTGGCACCTCCTTGTTCTTCGTTCTCTCTGGCTCGTAACAGATATCCTGTCAGAAGTGCGCAATATCCAGAGGGTTCGCCATCCCTGCGTCCAACCGGCCAGACTACGGTCAGCATAGGTAATATCTGTAAGTGTGTGGCTGTGTACATCGTTCGGTTGTGCCATGTTTTCGGAGTGCCGTTCGCGTTGGAGAACCCTCAGACTTCGTACATGTGGCGATGCCAAGATATCATGAAGCATGTTTTGAGTTGTAGCCGAACTCTGGATCTGCATCAGTGCGCCTTCGGATCCAGGTGGCGGAAAGCGACCAAGCTGGCCCTGGGATGTGTCGCGGAGGCGGGAGATTTTGCCTTAACCTACCGGGGGGCTCTGCGTTGCCGAGGCAAGCACGGGTACTGTTCCTTCAGGCCTGGCCATAAACATGTCGTCTTGGAGGGAAAGGTTATGACTTTGAGAGCCGCTGCGTACCCCTTTCGCTTCGCTCGCTGGCTGTGCACTGTCTTGCTCGACTTGTGAACAAATGTGATCTGCATGTGGCAAACCATCTCTCCTCACATGCAGAGGTTGACGCCTTCCCCGACACGCGTTGAATGGTCTATGCCGCTACGCTGAGAACTTCGGCTTTGCGAAAATGTTGGGGTGTGTTCGCCGTTTGCACGTCTCGATAACCTGGTCGCGACCATATGGTATCAGAGTTCACCACGGAAAAGACGTCTGAGCATGGTTGTGCGTCGCACGTGATTGCTTTGAGGTTCTTTAGATGTTGCAGCCCTCCAGCAGCCCCCCATATCGCTGCTGGGGCTCAAGCTTCCCCACCCTCAGCCACCCTGGACCTGCTCTCGCCCCTTTTAACCTTCTTCACTCCCTCCTCTCGTAAGGAGTGTGTTCGCCGTTTGCACGTCTCGATAACCTGGTCGCGACCATCTGGTATCAGAGTTCACCACGGAAAAGACGTCAGAGCAGCGGTATTCACAGCAGCATATGGTTGTGTCTTTCGCCATGTATTTTTTGGGACAGTGATGGCGGGGGGCGGGCCCGCATGGAGTCGGCATGGTTCCGGGTTGGCCGCCGGCCAGGTGGGGGAGGGGGTGTATACTACTGAGGAGCAGTGATCAACCCCTCCCCCGAGCAGGGGGACAACATTCGTTAAACCATCTACGCCCAGAGGGCTGGCGGGATTCCGCTTCGCATTCCGCGGCCATCTTCGCTCCCGCGTCTCATGCCCAGCCGTTTTCAGAGGCCATTGGCATCGGGGTTGGGCGCAAGTACGCCCGCTGCTTCAAGTGCGGGCTGGGGCTTTGGGGGCTGTTTGACCTGGGAGGCCATAGTCATCTTTGAGAAAGCCATACGCCCTGCTCCCTTGTCGGATGAGCCTGGGTCAGAAGAAGATATGTCGGCAGCCGGCCAGTACGCTCTTGCTGACAGCAAGGCGCTCGGCGCCGACATGCTCTGTCTGCACACGGGTCAGGGTGGCGGCTTTTGGGCCGCATGGTCGGCCCTTGCTGCAGCTGCTCTTGCAGCTGTTCCTCCTGGCGCAGTGCCTGCAGGTGAGCCGCGTGTTCAGCATAACGTGGTCCTTGTGCAGTGTTTGGCCACGGCGCCGCCGCTGGCCCCAAAGGGTGGTGGGTAAGGCGTGGCGCAGGTTCCAGGAGCGGCCGAAACGAACCAAGCGACGAAGGAATGCAGGGGTTACGCGGCAATGCAGCAGCACAGCTGCCCGAGGGCACCGAACTCGTTTGGTGCGACACTCGGCGTCATCTGCGGAGGCCAGGCCGGCCAAGCTCAAGAAACGCGAGGTTGAGAACGAGACTCACATCGCTCACGGGAAGGATCCGCCAAGAGCATGCTGCGTCGCTGGAGGAGGCTCAGGACGAGGAGGAACAGAAGCAGGCATTACCCGACACCAGAGCTGATGACGCCAAACAAGCAGTGGCCCGAGAGCGGGGTCTTCGGACCCAGACGTGGGCCATGTCCGCCACCAAACCGTGCCGCGAGGTGGCCTGCGGCGCACTGCTCTCGAGCTGCGGCAGCGCACCCGTGACGGCAACGAGGAGCTGCAGTGCCACGATCGAGGCGGCCCCCCTTTTGCCGGGCAGGCTCGTGCTACGACGATGGCGGGGCGCGCCGTCCGCAAGCTCGCACTGCTGTCCTCGGGGGGCGGCGGCCGATCGCGAGCAGACCTACACATTGTTCATGCCTAATTATTCGAAAGTTCTTTGAGTTTTTTCCCCGGAAAGGGCATGGGCCCAGGGTTCTCTTTTAGTTGGTCTCCCCCCCGGTTTTTACTTGAAGGGGGCCGGCGGAATTCTTGCGCGATAAATTACGAGGTCGAAGGGGGCCGGCGGATTTCAATTGTGAGGACGAAGGCAATTTTTCGCCACCCCTCACGCAGATCGTGCTCTTGGAATTTTACTGCCTTTAAGGAAACCTCGATATTTCACAGGTGAAGTCTATTTTTTTCCGACATCGACTTTAAACTATAAAAAACAAGGTAAACGCGTTCGCTCGATAAATAACGAGGTGCCGCGGCCTCGGGAACGGCGCTGGGAACGGAGTTTTGGATTCTTGAAGTTGCATAAGTTCGAAAATAGCAGCAATCCCTTGTGTTTTTTGACCCTGACCCCGCCGATCTGCGTGAGGTGTGGCACGGAATGCCAGAAATGTGTCAAATCCCCTGTGTTTTTGGACCCTCACCCCGCCGATCTGCGTGAGGGGTGGCGCGGAATTCCAGAAATGTGGCAAATTCCCTGTGTTTTCGGATCCTGACCCCGCCGACCTGCGTGAGGGGTGGCACCGAATTTCAGAAATGTGGCAAGTCCCATGTGTTTTCGGACCTTGACTTCGCCCAGGAGGGCCCAGGAGGCTCCAGGAGAGCCCAGGAGAGCCCAGGAGGGCCCAGGAGAGCCCAGGAGGCCCAGGAGGACCCAGGAGGCTCCAAGAGGCACCAGGACCCAGGAGAAGCTCCAAGAGGCACCAGGGGGCCCAAGGAGGGCCCAGGAGAAGCTCCAGGAGGCTCCAGGAGAGCCCAGGAGGGCCCAAGAGGTCCAAGGAAGACCCAGGAGGGCCCAGGAGCCCTTACGAGGGATCGTGGCCCTGGGAGCGCTGACGTAGCATAATTTACGAGGGATCGTGGCCCTGGGAGCGCGGTTGTAGTGTAATTCTAGAATTTCTTTGAATTTTGGCAGGATGTCTCGAGCGAAATGCACGACCACACCCTAGCACTCTAGGATTTCTTTGTTGGCAGGATGTCTCGAGCGAAATGCACGACCCCACCCTAGCACGACCACACCCCAGCACGACCGCACCCCAGCACGACCACCCCAGCACGACCCCACCCCAGCACGACCCCACCCCAGCACGACCACCCCAGCACGACCCCACCCCAGCACGACCCCACCCCAGCACGACCACACCCCACCAGGACCCCACCCCAGCAAGACCCCACCACAGCACGACCACCAGGACCACACCCCAGCACGACCACACCACAGCACGACCACACCCCAGCACGACCACGCCCCAGCACGACCACGCCCCAGCACGACCACCCCCCAGCACGACCACCCCCCAGCACGACCACACCCCCAGAACGACCACACCCCAGCACGACCACACCACAGCACGACCACACCCACTCGCACCCCCGTGGAATGTTTCGTGGGGTGTCTGGTTGAGTGGTTGCCTGTTCGTGGGGTGTCTCGTGGAATGTTTCACGGGGTGTCTTGTGGAATGTTTCGTGAGGTGTCTCGTGGAATGTTTCGTGAGGTGTCTTGTGGGATGTTTCGCGGGGTGCGTCGTGGGATGGTTCGTGAGGTGTTGTCCAGTTGGGTATCGTGAAAACGTGACCATGCTGCACATGTCTATATCCCTTGCCGGGTTCGTGGGTCCATCATGTTTGGCCAAGATCCTTCCATGTCTGATTGTCCTGTCCTGGGCCTCTTCCTGGCCACTAGGGGGCCAGGAACAATTAGAAACGAGCACGATCAGAAATGAACGACGCGTACATGTCGGGTCGGGCGAAAGGGGGGGTTTGGGAAAGGGGGGGTTACGAAATCTGCTGCATGCAGCTGGTTTCGGCCCGACCGAGGGGCCCATTCCTCGATACATGGGCGCCTCCTGGCGCCGGGAGGCGCCGGGAAAATCAGCTACGTGAGCTGATTCTCAAACCCCCCCTTTGCTATCCCCCCCTTTCGCCCGACCCGAACATGTCAGCCGTGCCCTCGTCCCACGCTGTGCAGGATCTGCACGGGCGCAGCTCCGCCCGAGGCGGTGACACGGCCCGCGCAGGAGCACGGGAGGGCAAGATCCCTCGGGGGGGAAAGCCGCACGAGCACAAACTTTCGGAGATCCTCACGGATTTCTCGGATCGGCGCTGGACCCCCCCCCCTCCCCCGGCGGCGCCTCCAGCGCCGCCCCTGGCGCGCAAGAAGTCCGCGCGGAGCTCCGACCGTTTATGGTTTTCGATTCCGGCTTCTCTTCCGAAATCTGCTGTCCCACGCCTCGCCGCTGCAGTCGCTTGGGGAACAGGTGAGACGGGAGTTCGCCGCTTGCAAGACTTGTCAATTCCAGGTCATGCTCCAGATTGCGCCAGCCCACGTTCTGATAGCAGAGTCTTGCTTGTGCGACACTCCGTCTCGAGGATCCCAGGGCCAGGCGCGGCCAGCTGCCCTGAGGAAGTGAAGCGGAGCACCCCCATTGGGAAATCTGTGCAAGTTTCGCTTCGTGCCGTGCCTGCGGAAGGCGAAGCTGCGTGTTCGGGCCAGTGAGGATCACCGACGGTAGCCAGACAGGTGTTGTTGGTTTTCCGGCTGGGGACGGGGCCTTTCGAGTGGGCCCACGAGGGGAGGGGAGGAAGGGAGGGATCAGCTCGGAGTGCGGGCGTCCATTGCGTGCGCATGGTGCGAAGGCCCTCGCAAGGCTTGCGCATGGGCTCACGCCAGCGGGGTTAGACACGACTTTCACAACTTGTCGGGCCCTCCGTGATTGGGGGAAGATGGGGCCGCCGTGTGCTGCGCGAGCTGGCCATCGGAGCCTCGTGTCTTGACGTTTCGGGCCCACGATTGTTCGGCTCGGCTTCTGCTTCTGGTCGGGACGAGGCCATTGGGTTGCCCCTCAGTTGTCCCGTGCATTTATCCCGTGTGGTTATCCCGTGTGGCTGTCCAGAGCGGTTGTTCTGCAGTTGTTTTGTGGTTGTCGTGTGCGATTGTCCAGCGGTCGTCTCACCATGGTCGTAAGTTGTTCCACGGGCGGCGACAGATGTTCTGGTTACTTGATGCAAGGGGTAGACGTCGATGTCGATTCGGTGCTCCGCCTTCGGAATCCCATGCGGTGCAGGTTGCCCGTGCGCATGGGCACAGCCCCAATGCTTCAGTTCCGATTGATGCTGCGGGCATAGTGGGTCGATAGCCAGGTTGCAATCCCATGCCGAGTGGCAGTGCGCGTCGGCTGCGACCACAATATCCGATTCGTGTTCTTGTCGGTTCGAAGGAGGAATGAGGCATCACCGAAGCAGGGAAACATCACCGAAGCGGGGAACTCTTGAGCAGCTGCATAAACAGAACATTGACATACATGACATCTGTTTGAGATGGAGTCATGTCCTGTCAAGGGGAGAAGCAAGCAGGACGTCGTGAGTTTCTTGCTAAGCGTAATCGCTATCTCATACGCAGCACAGCTGTTCCGGCCCGTCTATCAAGCAACAAACCTATTCTTATCGCTGCCGTTCCGCCTCTTCTGCCGCTCCTTAAACCCATTATCTTCCTCCACGTTCTCATCCCGCTCCTCCTACTACTTGTCCTCGTAGTGGCGCCACTTCCACACGCATCCCTCGGAGGCCATCCTTTTTCTCCGCAGCCCGCGTGGCCCAACACACCGCCTGCTGGATACATCCACACTCTTAGTCTTTGTGTTACATGGGTGCATGCTCTATCGCGGCTCGAAACGGCCTGCCAATATTATGTTCGGGGAACCGATTCCCAGCCGTCGTTGCCAGCGTCCTCTTCTGCATGGGAACCGCCCTCGACGTCGCTATCAGTAGTGAGCAGAGGGCCTCTGGTAAGGCAGGCGTGAAGACGAAGTCAGGCCAGCGGGTGGAGGCGAGCACGCAGCTGGGCGTCATGAGCAAAGCGGGCGTCACGAGGTACAGCCGCAACAAGATCAAGGCGGTCAAGAGCGCCAACGAGTTCTACTGGGCGAGCACCGGCGGCAGGCACGGCAGGTTCGGCACCTCGTCTTTCACCGGCCCTGCGGACCTCGTCAACAACATCTCCTGGGGCTGGCATCACCCCAACGGCGTTCACAACACCGTCCTGGTCGGCGCGCCGCTCATCGACGACCAGATGAACATATACGTGTCGGCCGACGATGCCATCCGCAAATTCGACACGCTGGGGACCCTTCTTTGGAGCTACGGCCCGCGCGGCCAGCTGGCCTCCGCGCCCTCGCTCGTGGCGGCTGGCTACGCCAGCTCGCCCCCGCAGGGTGAGGTCCACGGCTATCCCCCAGCGCCGTTCACCGAGGCCCACGCGTTTCGCGTTGGCGATGGCGGGAACTCACTTCTGAGGGTCGGCGATCGAGTCGAGGTGCTCCCGGGTAAGGAGTACCACGCCAAGGGCAAGGAGTACTACAGGACCGGCGACGTGGGCGAGGTCAGCAAGATCGTTGCCAGCGATCGCGGCGAGCCGAGAGCGATCATCAGGTGGCCCCGCACGGGGCACGCCAGCAGCGCGCTGCTCTCCACCTGGCAGCAAAAATTTGCCCGAAAGGAGGATGGCACCGCGAGGCGCCAGGTTCCTGCCCTCTACGGGTCCACCGTCACGGGCTATGGCTTTGCACTGGACCTGGAGACGGGCGACGAGCTCTGGGCGACCAAGCTGTCCTCCGAGATTGCCGGTGTCAAGGGAACCGTGGCCGCCCAGAGTGGCATCTTCGTCGCGGCCTCCGACAAGTGCCACGACCGGTACTGCTACCGATACCGCAACGAGAGCATGCACGTAAGCATGGCGCCCTCGAACCGCATCATCAGGGGTCTCAACAGCGTGAACGGCACCGGCATCTGGTCATACACGCCGGACCATCCGGTTTGGAATTTCGACCCACAGATCACTGGATGGGGTGGTGTGCTGTTCCAGGATTTTCAGGGTGGGCTCTACTGCCTCAACCTGACCACAGGCGAGGAGTTGTGGAAGAATGAAGGGCAGCTCGGCATGTACACACAGGCTGCCGCCATTTTCAGCGCAGAGCTAAACTACATCTTCTCGATCACTGAGGAAGCGTATGACAGTAGGTGGTGCGACCCATACACTCCACCAGGGATCCTCATTTGGTGCAACACAGTGCAGGATACCCAGGGGCTCGTCCGAGGCTACCACGCGGAGACTGGTGTGAAGATGTGGGAGACTACTCTCCCGATGCCGCCTACAGGAGCGAGCCTCGGCAAGCTCAACAGTGGTGACGGCAGAACACACTTGGTAGTCGGCATCGGACTCAACTGTCAGTACGGGGGCGCGTATGGCAGCATCGGCAAGCCGTCAGAGCTGTGGGCTTTGAGTGGAAAGTGGGGGGGCCGACTGTGGAGGCGGGTTGGTCCCACCCTCTGGACTTCGGATTGTGCAGGTGACAAGGAGGGCGAAGACATCCGCCGGGCAATGGGTACTCGACCGAAGTGTCAGCCGAACAGCTGGAGCAATCCGGTGATCGATGCCAATGGAGACGTCTACGCTGGCAACCACGTTGGAATGGTTCAGAAATGGGGCTCGCCTACTGGTCAACATTACACTGTGGATCTTTTGTCCTCGTTGGAGACTGGCTCGGCGATGCTGGATCAGAGCATCGCGATGGCACCTGGCATGATGGCCATAAGTACATGCAGATCGCTCATCGTTCTCACGGCCTGAGCGCTGAAGGTAGTAGGCCGTGGGCCCAAATTTCGTCGCCTTTGGATGCTCCCTTCTTTTCCTCACCCTGCGCCGCCCTATGAGGGCCGGTCCCGCTGGACCGAACTCGCGCGCTCGCCTCGCCTCGCCTTCTTTTCCTCACCCTTGTTTCCTCCCGCCTTCTCCCTCTCCCTCCTCCCCGTCTTTCTTCTTCGTCCCTTCTCCTCTTCCTCCCTGCCATCCCTCTCTTCCTCCTTCTCCTCTCTCCTCCGACTCCTCCTCCCACCTCCTCCCTCCTCCCTCCTCTCCCTCCTCCTCCTTCTCCTCTTCCTCCTCCTCTTTCTCCATCCCTCTACCTTACATGCGTCCTGGGGTTCCTTGGGGAATGCCAGGACTTCTTGAGTAGTTAATGCTCTCTCCCCGCTCGCTCCGTGCCGCCGCCCGCTGGCGACGCCACTGCCCCGCAGCAGTAAAATATCAAGACAGGACCACGCGTCACCTGGGCTCGGGAGAAAGGGTGACAGGAGTCAATGTTGCCTTCTTCGTTTTTCTTTTACCGCTTTCCTTCCCGTTTTTGTATATCTGCTTAACTGCTTAACAATCCCATCAGGAGCTTTGAGACCCATCGTATAACACATAACAAGATCAATCAACCCCGCTGTCGCCGAGAGTAATCATTCTCTGGCGAATGACTGGCTGTCGCCCGGAATGATTGGAAGCATCAGTGATGAACAAACCGCGTTGGCGAGCGCAGTCAACCCCAACGACGCGATTGTTCATATGGAAGATGCTCTTGCTCACATGAGAGAGCCAGTCGCAGACAATGTGTGGCATTCCGCCTGGTGTGCAAACTTTCTCGTTACCAGTCGCTCCTCTTGTTCCTGCCATGGGCAGGGATCCAACGTCTGTGCCGCATTTACGAGAGGGAAATGGCATGTCACGTGATGGAAATGCGTTTTTGGAAAACATAGACGTTAAGCCGGAGACTTCATCTATCAAGAGCGAAGGGATTCACATAGTGTCTCAAGCAGGTTATGAAACAATGTGTACTCGGAAAACACCTAGGCCTGCACGTCGTGTGACACCCGAGTATGAAATAAGGGATCGGCGTTCCTTTCGATGTGATGTCTGATAAGACGGTACTCTCGTTCAAACATGTTCGACCTCCTCTGGAGAATCATAACCATAAGCCATTGCTTGCCCCGACTTTGACTCACCGCAACGGCGGCAAAGGGGAAGAACATCCCCGTCAACATCGCCCTTTACATGTACATTGCGTCCCACATCCAGGAGCAGGGTAGAATATTGCGGGGCATCTTCAGACGGCATTTCAGTCAAAAACGGATGTTGGGCCAACATGCTCGGATGTTTTCCCACTGTTGAGAATAGATGTCCTGGAAAAGCACGCAGGCCAAAAGGATCGTGTCAAAGGCCCATCTGCACAGGATGCTCGCACGCCTGTCAATCTTGCAACCTCAACTGGCCATGCTCCGAATGCCTAGATATGAAAGAACACAGCTGCCGTCACCTTGCATTGTTGGAATGCCAGCAGGCACAAGCGGAGAAGAGGTTGGTAAATGAGCAGAACTGAGAGAAGAGCTGACTGCAAAGGCGCAGGCGATCATGGTTGAAAAGGACGAACCTAGCTTGAAAATGCACAACGAAGAGGAGTCCTTCCAACGTGCAGCTGGACAGGCACAGCTGAATCATATTGTTACTTCGGAAGCAGCCTACAGATCTGACAAAAAGCCGAGCAACACAATAATGAGTTTAAATAATCCGTAAGGGCTTCGCCCCATGACGCCGGCCCCCTGTCTCGGATAATGGGAGATGCAGAAGCTAAGTCATGAGGTCTGGGCGCCGCCGTGAAGCAGCGTCGGGGCCTGTTTGTTTTTTTTCGACCCGTACCCTGCGGATTTGCGTCGCGGGTGCCACCGAATATCAGACACGGGGCAAATCCTTTTTGTGATTTTGGACCCTGACCCTGCGGACCTGCGCGAGGGGCGCCGCCGGATTTCAGAGACGCGGCAAATCCCTTGTGTTTTTGGACCCTGGCCCTGCCGATCTGCGCGAGGGGCGCCGCCGAGTTTCAAGAATGTGGCACATCTTCTTTGCGTTATTTGACCCTGGCCCTGCCGACCTGCGCGAGGGGCGCCAGCAAATTTCAGAAATGCGGCAAATCCCTTGTGTTTTTTGGGCCCTGGCCCCGCCGATCTGCGTGAGGGGTGCTGGCGAATTTCAAAAATGTGGCAAATCTCACGCGCGCGCACCCTGGCCCCGCCGATCTGCGCGAGGGGCCCCACCGAACGTCAGGCACGTGGCAAATCCCGCTTGTTTTCTGACCCTGACCCCGCCGATCTGCATGAGGGGCGCCGGCAAATTTCAGAAATTTAGTACACCCCATGTGCTTTTTTTAACCCTGGCCCCGCCGATCTGCGCGAGGGGCGCCACCGAATTTTGGCAAATCCCCTGGTGTCTTTGGGCCCTGGCCCCGCCGAACTGCGTGGGGGGCGTTAATTTGTTCCCGCCCCAGCAAGTCAGAGCGCGTGCTCAGGGCGCGTTAAAAATGCCCGCTTTGCCCCCCCACCCCCCCCCTCGCGCGGCCCATCGACGCGGAACAGCAAGCAGCGAGAAGTCAATGAGGAACAGCAAGCAGCGAGAAGCATAATTGCAACAGTGGAAACTGGATGCTGCCACTGGCACAGGAAACTGCGAACCTTCGCCCTGCAGCCCGGTGGCCCCGCAAGGGGGCCGGCGGATTAGCGCAACAAGCTCCGAGAGACAAAGCGCCGAGAAACACAAGCAATGGTTGCGAAAGAGGCGCGCATGCAGCACATGGTGCATCTCGCTGAACAAGAGGTTGGATAATCCCACGGATCGGCAGAGAACGCGCTGAAAGAAAATGAGATTCAGGTTGCTGCTGCATTGCAGCCCGCGAGGGACGAAGCCTGATCGATGACGCATCAGATGTGCATCCGGGAACACCCGGCCATCGCTCGTGCAGAACAGGCAAAGACAAAACTCCAGCTGGCAAGTGACTATGTCACGCGCCAGAAGGAAGCACGCAATAACCTATGAATGTTTCTGGAGTTCCGTAGCGCAGCCAAGCTTGATCCGGCCGTTGCCCCGGATGCCATGCCGACGCATAGGGGCGCGTCTTATTCAGGAAATGGCAGGATGAATGGAACGGCGTCTGAGGCTTAGCTTCAGGGGCCGGGGGCCCCCTCCCACCGCGCTCCTGAAACGAGACCGCAGCTGCGTGTTGCGACGGCGTCGGGCAGCCCAGTGTTGTTCCATTTCTGCGGCGATCTCAATATGACAGAGCGCATGCAATGTTCTGAGCCACCCTGCATTGATCACTTGGATCCTGTAGCGACGCGCCGCAGACACTGCGCTCGAAGCAGAGCCGAGGCCGAGGCAGATGCAGAGAGAAGGCGCCAGGAAGAATAACGCCGGCGCTCGCAACGTTTTGGGGGGGGGGGGGGGCAAAGGCGTGCGGCAAGTCTTAGCAGAGGACAAAGGGAGATTTTGATGAACCCGCGCAAGGAACGCGAAGCGCGGGGGAAGGCCAAGCGCGACGATGCCATCGAAAATGCGGCCGCGCCGTCTGACTTGGTAGCACTAGAAGAACGCAGGCAGTCTGAGCAGGCGGGGGAACCATTCAAGGCGACCCCAACATTCCCCGAGTTCTTTAAACCGACCGAAGAATGCCCAGACAAATTGCCCACTTCGGAAGACCATTCTGGCCCGCCATATCCCTCCGACGTTTCAGCTGGCGGAGGAGGCGGCGGCGGGGGCGAGCTTCCCGGAGGGGGGGGGGGCGGCGATGATCGGGGGGGGCAGTGATGAGGATGGTCATGGACCCAGTCGCTTGCCCCATGGAGCTCGGGAAGCAGATGAGCAGAACGCCGGAGATTCGATTAGTGCCAATTCCCGATGCAAATGTATTGCGCGAGTGGAAGATGCACGCTGCCAGGGCGATTTCATCGGCTCCGCCAGATGCGCCAGGTACCATGCCGTGGATTTCACAGGCCATGAACCTTGAGAGGTAAATTCTCGTTTGCTTCCTGCCCGTGCGATGGCGCGCGTGATATGTCGGTGGCATTCCGTGTGCGCCGACTATGGCGGCGACAGGGCGGCGCGAGATCATGTCAAGACCGTCACCAATTTGAACGAGCCAGATGAGGTTCGGCGTCATGTTTTCAATGGGTGGATGACTTTGTACAATGAGTCATATCATTGCTCTGAGCCGTCCCTGGAGGTCGCATCAACCACGCATGATCAAGTCTATGAACACATGAAGTTGGCTCCCGAAATGAAATCGGTCATCGCGCACTCCGACGTGCGCAGCGGCCAAACCAGGTCAGATATTCGAAACATGTGAGCGGCTGCCTTGGCATTTGCAGAGGGTTAGCCATGAAATAGGAGAGAAATGACTGTGACCTTGAATGTCTGGAAAAAACTTACACTGAATGAAGCAATCCCGCCCCCGCGACCGCCGCCCCGGGCCCGATCGACCCGAAGAACGCGGGGGGGCCCGCGGACAAAATGAAGACTGGAATGTTGAAGAAAGATGCCCCATGCAGGCGGTCGGGACGGGATGGTGTCTGTCCGCGCAAAAAGCAGGGATTTTCATTCAATCTCGGAAGCCCGCGGCGGCCCCAGCAGCGCCGCCCGTTTTGGGGGAGCAAAACAAAGGGACAGGCAAGGGCAGGGGAGTGGAGCTCCTCAGGGACAGAGTTGACTGAGCGACCTTTCCCCGAGAGCTACTGGACAGCCGTTCCCAGCATTTCGGAGCCAGGCTGAAGGGGGGGAGAGGGGGGGGAAGAGAGGAGGAAAGAGTGGAAGATGAGGAGGAGGGGGTGGGGGAAGAGAGGAGGAAGAGATGAGGAAGCAGTTTGATTTCAGGATTCGGCGCGGCTGGAGCCTCACTCCGCGCCCCCGCAACTCGTCTAATACATCGTTTCTGCGCGAACCGCGTCGGGGGTCAGATGGAGGGCGCCGGCGAGAGAAGCCCCGCCAGCCCTCTCGACCCAACTGGCTAAGAGCGTATCCGTTTTCCAGCTTCCTCTTCCTGGCCCAAGATGGCCTCGTGAGCGCCTCAGATATTCCGAGATGAATTCCAACGTGGCCCAATATAGCAGAATCTGTTTCAATATGGATCCCAAGATGGTCCTAGAGGCCCCGAGGTTGGGGGCGTGAATGCGCGGAGCGTTGGAGAGTGGGCGCCCTTCCCGCCGCCGTCGTTGCTCCTATAGCTTCGAAGGTCAGTCGACTGCGTGCGGTTCGGAGGCCGCCTGGAAAAAGGGAAAACATAGCCCCGTGCGAACACCCCGTGGAGTCACCGCGGCACTTGTTGGCCCAGAGTAGAAAATCATTGTTCGGTCCGTTCGCTCGGGCTTCGCCTTTGCATGCCCTGCTTGAGCTGTCCCCCCCCCCGCGCAGCCACCCCGACCCCCTTGGGGGAAAAGGCGCGGAGAGCGGTCGGGAACGCATTGCCGTTCGACTCGTGCTCTTCTAGCGGAGGCTCTTGACTAAAACTCGGCCTGTCGGTTTATGTGTGTTTTTCCGTGGTGATGTGGCGGTTCAAAAGCTGCCTCCCGTCCATGCCCCGCACACCGCGAGGCAAAGTCTTGGGGGGTGCACCGTTTTTGCTGCGACCGATGCTTGAGGCATCGGCCATTTCTTTCTGCGAGCACTGCGTGGAGTCACCGCAGCACTTGCTGTCCCAGAATGGAAAATGATTGTCCGGTCCATTCGCTCAGGCTTCGCCTTTGCATGTCCTGCTTGGGTTGTCTCCTCCCCATAGTCACCTCGACGCCCTTGGGGGAAGAGGCGCGGAGAGTGGTCAGGAGCAGCCATCATGTGGTGTTGGGTCCTCGCTTTGAAGAGACAGCGCCCCGCGTCCTCCTCTCCTCCTCTCCTCTCCTCTCCTCTCCTGTCCTCTCCTCTCCTCTCCTCTCCTCTCCTCTCCTCTCCTCTCCTCTCCTCTCCTCTCCTCTCCTCTCCTCCCCTCCTCCCCGTCCTTACTCCTCCATCACAGCATCATCCCATCATCCCATTACCCTCATCTACGCGTCCCCTCCCATCGATTTCGGCACACCCCGCACACGTTTCGCGGCCCCTTATGCAGCTCCGCCGAAGGCCCGCGTGGCAGGGTTCGCATGGCACCGCCGCCTCCGTTTCGGCGCACCCCTGACGCGTTTCGTGTGCCAATACGGAGCCCTGCCGAAAACCTCAGCTGCAGGGTTCGCATGGCACCGCCGCCTCCATTTCGTCCCTCCTCTCACGCTTTGTGGCACCATAGGGCGCCCCGCCAGAGACCCCAGTGGCAGGGTTCGCATGGCACCGCAGCCTCCGTTCCGGCGCACCCGTCACACGCTTCGTGGCTCGTTAGGGAGCTCCGTCGAAGGCCCCAGTGGCAGGGTTCGCACAGCACCGTCGCCTCCATTTCGGCACACCCCTTCACACGCTTCGTGGCACCATAGGGAGTTCGCCCGAAGGCCCCACTGGCAGGGTTCACAGGGCACCGCAGCCTCCATTTCGGCATACCTCTCAAGGAACTCCGCCGAAGGCCCCAGTGGCAGGGTTCGCATGGCACCGCCGCCCCCACTCCGGCGCACCCCTCACACGTTTCGGGTCCCCATAGGCAGCTCCGCCGAAGACGTCAGTGGCAGGGTTCGCATGGCACCGCCGCCTCCATTTTGGCACACCCCTTACATGTTTCGCGTGCCCATATGGAACTCCACCGAAGACCCCAGTGGCAGGGTTCGCATGGCATCGCCGCCCCAATGCCGCACACCCCTTGCACGCTTCGTGGCCCCATCAGGCCCCATCGGGGGCTCCGCCGAGGGCCCCAGTGGCAGGGTTCGCATGGCACCGGCGCCTCCCTTTCGGCACACCCCATCACACGCTTCGTGGCCCCATAGGGAGCTTCACCGAGGCCAGTACTCACAACGGCGGTATTCACAGCTGCATATGGCAGGTCCTTCGCCAACATCATTAAAAACGAATGCGCGCGGCGTCAAGGCGAGGCCACAGTTTGAAAACCACCCGCCCTCACTGCCGTAAGCTCTTGCATGCTTCAATTTCTTAGACAATTCACCCATGCGCGCTGCTCTAAGGCGAGAGCCACATGTTGAAAACGACACGCACTCAATCCGTAAAACTTGTGCAATGTTAAAAAACGAAGATGCGCGGCGCTAAGGCAAGAGCCGCATCTTGAAAACCACCCGCCGTCAATCCGTGAAAATGTTTTCAGCTTTTAAGCATGAGAGTCGTAAGTGGTGTGGAAGTATCAGGCGAAACGCCCCGTCGCCCTTTCGACCAGCTTCGGGGTGCGAATGGATGAGGAGGAGAAGGAGGAGAAGGAAGATGAGGAGGAGGGAGGAGGGGAGACGCAGCGATCACTCGATCAATGTCGGAGCAGCGTCCAAAAAAGAGGAGGGAGGACCGGATTGAGGAGAGCATTCGAGTCGTTTTGGCGTTTTTTGCATTTTCAGAGTTTCCGCGGGGGGGCCCAGAGACCTCCGCAGATTGTGGGGAACTCGGAACATTTGGAGACTGCCAGAGACCTTCGGAGGCCTCCTCCAGAGTCGGACCCTGCTCAGGGTCCGAAGCCGAATCGTTCGTGGTTCGAATTTCATCATAGTCCGCTGGCGCCAGTCTCAAGTTGGGCTTGTCTCGGAGGCTGGTCAGCTGGCGTGGGCTTGGGGGGGGCAAGGCGGACCTTCTTCCCGCCACTGTGCCGCGCGATCGTCGGTGCAAAGGTCGAGTTCGCATGTCTTCCTGCGCACAGAGAGTTCTGTGCGGCTCAAGGATATGTCATGTGCGGTGAGTGCGTGATTGTGCGCAGGCATGTGAATGCATGTGGCATGTGGGCTTGCTTCTGTGCCCGTGTCAGACTCCGCTTGTGTGTGTGTGTGCGAATGCGCGTGCGCTCTCCGGCTAGCCTGACTCAGCCGCGTTGTTGCGCGCTTGGCTGCGAAAGCGTGCGCGTGCGCGCGTGCATGTGCGCGAGCCGCTTGCTGCATGTACGCAGACACCTGGCTCATGGAAGCTGGGGGCACAGAGGGTCGGTGCGCGGCGCGCGCGCAATCTTCGCGGGTGGTGAATGGAGCAGCTGCAGGCGGAAGATGTGGACGACCTTCAGGCTTCCCCTGATGTGCCTGCGCGCATCTGCTCCGTGCACGGAAACAATGCTCGGGCTCTGGGCGTGGCGCTGGCACGGGTGTACCGCAGGAGGCTTGAGGCGGGGCTGGAACGCGCCAGGGGCTACTACACCGTGTTGGCGCCAGTCACGTGTTCAATGGAGTTGTGGCGCACCCTCAGTGGCTACCTGCGCGCTGGGGTCCAGCGTTCATGCCCCAATGCTGCAATGTTCCTGGAAGGACTGGAGCAGGAGCTGGGCTGGGACGTCTACCAAACGCAGCTGGACTTCGAAATCTACACGCTCGAGCTGCACCGCCGTACGCGCGTGCGAAAGGCGCTGGCCAGGTCAAAGGCTGGCCCCGCTGGCAGCGGCAGGCCCAGCAGCGGCTCCAGCTCCGACGCCTCGAGCAGCGGCGGCAGCTCCAGCAGCCTCGCTGCGGCGTTGACGTGCGCCGAAGAGCGGGAGGGCGCAGCCGCAGCAGAGCCGCCAGTGCCCGAGCCCGCGGCCGCGAAGGATCGGCCACGCGTAAGAGTGACCCTTCGCCAGAATGACCTTTGGTTTGGATGCGGGCCCACAGGTATCCCCAACACTGGCTTTTGCGCGCTTGGATTTGGCCATCACCCCCGCGGCCCCCTGAAGCTGCGCTCCGAAGGTCACCCTTTCATAGGGTCACTCTTGCGTGCAGCCGAAAGGAGCAGAGCATCCACAGCGGGCGTTGCACTGGCTTCGGCCTCTCGGAGCCCGGGGGCGCCCAGCTCGTTGCGCAGACGGTGGATCTGCCAGGGCTGTTGTACGGCTACGGCGACTTCGATTGCGTGCTGCGTCTGCGCACTGCCTCGGGCTGCACGCTGGCGTACGACACCGACGGTCGGCTGTGCCCTATTGGGCTCAACTCCGCGGGCCTAGGGGTCGGAGTATTCAATTTGCACCAGACGCAAACAGAAGGTTTTGAGCAGCCGTCGGTCTCAGTGCAAGCCCTCGTGTGGGAGCTGCTCCTGGGCGGCCACACCTTGGCCTCGGCCGAGGCCTTCCTTCGGGAGCTGCCGGTGCCGCCCATGTGCGGCAGCGCGCTGGTGTTGACCGACGCCAGCGGCGCGGTGATCGTGGAGCTCAGCCCGGCGGGAGCGTGCTTCTGCGAGCGGGTTGCTGGCGAGCCCACGGTGCGCGCCAACCACGCGCTGCACCCTCAGAGCGCGAAGACTTTCGGCGAGTCTGGGCGCGCCTGCGCGGACTCGCGCAAGAGGCAGAGGGCCCTCACGGAGCAGCTGGAGCGCTGGGGGCAGCTCCGCTCGGCCGATGACCTGTCTCCTGGTTGCGAGGAGGCGCTGGCCATGCTGAGGGGCGCCAAGAAGGTGCGCAACCAGAGCTCCCTTGCCGCAGTCGCATGCGACCTGCTGCGCGGCGAGCTGCGTGTGGAGTTCCGCGAGCGGCAGGAGGTGAGCTCGGAGGAGATCGCCAGGCTCGCTGTGAAGGTCGGGATGGCGCCCGAGAAGGTGGAGAGCTTCATGTCATCTGGGGCGATCCAGAAGGACGCGGGGCGCGAGCGGCTGCAGACTGGCCTGCCGGCCGCCCACACCACGCGCTGGGCGGCGCAGAGTTTTTTCTTGTCCACTGGCAGGCCAGGTCCCTCGGGGCTGCAGGCGCGGAGCGAGGAGGCGAAGCCCGAGGCAAAAAAGACTTCCTGGCAGAGAGCGCGGAGCTAGGATGCCCTTCGCGCGCCCGACGGGCCTCTAAGGTGCTGGCCCGCCTGGTCGCCTCGTCATCCCCCCGTGTGGTTGCAGAGCCCCTGTCAGCCTCTCCTCCTCCTGCGCCTCCCTCTGTACTCCTTCGTGCGCCGCCATATCGGCTCACAAGGGCCTTTGAGCTGTCATGGCGCGCCGGTGACGTGCGCGCCCACGCTTCCGTAAAACGAAAGAGACCGTGCTCTCTTCTAGCACGGGTCCCCCTATTTGTACCTCGTGTCTCCCCGTATCCATACAGTCACACCCGTACAATCCACAGTGGCAGCGGAACCTGTGGTTGAGATCCACGGGGGGAGTCAGGACGATTCCCCTGTCATTCGATTCTTGGTTGACATACCCTATCCTATTCTCCCGCTCTTCCCGTCCCTACCCCATTGCACCGAACGCCGCCATGGATTCTCAAGACGACACTCAGCTTCAATATTATGAATTTCCAGCATATCCTTGGTTACAACCAGATCAGGATCTTAGGGCAGGAGCTGGAGGACGACAAGACGTTCCTTGGGAAGGTGATGGCGACGTGGGCTGGTCAGATCAGGACTGGGCCCGCTGGTTATCACAGCCACGGACGGAGACACAGCCCAATACGCAACAATCCTCATCGGGTTGGACTGGGCGGGGAGGTAGTTCGCTGGGTGCACTAAATCGGCAGAACACGCCTCTGCGAGGACAGGCTATATCTTTTTATGTTTTCTCCGACCTATCGGGGAGATACCATTGTTTGACATTCTGATCGCCAACGGAGACGTTTCCCTGAACAGTCGGAGGCTCCAAAGATACCGGACGACCTACCTCCCACTTGATATGGAAAAGATCTGGATACTCGCCTAGGCCCCTACATGAAGGAGCTTCAGACGTGGGTCGCCACTGCCAGACCTTTGAAAACACAACGCGGATGTCTCATCTGCCGGTATGCCAAAGACGACCTCCATATCATTCTTTACGAATTCGTTGAGGGCCAGTTGTCCTCCGAGGACGGCGGGCAGGTTGAAACGCATCCATAAGGCTTTAAATGAGTTCCAGGCCCGCAGGATGCCGAAGGCTTTTGAGAAGCTTTTCTGTTCAGAAGACACCGAGCGCAAGCGAAAGGAATCCTTGGTCAACTATATCGCGCGCAAGCGCGTGCTCTTCTGAGAACTCGAGAAGCGCGCGATCCTGTTGGAGGATTTGAAAAGGCACGTGCTTCTGAGAGAATCCGAGCGGACTGCGTGCTTCTGAGAGAACCCAGGCTTAATGACGCTGCTTGGGATGCGGTTGAGTACTGGACATAAGGATCGTGCGATTCTGATTTGGCGCGCGAGAAGTTTCGGAAACTTGTTCGACAACTACCTTCTGGCAGAGGCGGCCATCGCATCCACGGCGTGAGCCCACCCTCGAACTGCGTCGGATAGCAAGGGGGCGATGACGAATGCGAGGGCCAGGCGAAGTCCATCGGATTCCCATGCAACAGTCCTTGTTTATTTTGCCCGAGGCCCATGAGGAGGGGGAGATCATGAATGGGGTGCTCTTCGTAGCTGGAGACTTGCCCGACGATGTGGTTCTGAAAGAAGATGGCGCCAGCGCCATCTATGCCGAGCACAGTCGCGTGCGACAGCACTTACACAAACGGAAGCTCGGGCGAGGATTTGTCCGAACATCACCCCAGCATGGGGAAGTCCAAAGGCTCCCGAAAAGGGAAAACGTAATAGGAAAACGCTCGGGACATGCCCGACTGAAGCGGTGGGCCAAAGGTGACTTGATGAGCCGCTCGAAATGCGCCCGACGCGGGGGGATGGGGCACTGGGGTCGAGACTGTGCGAACGAGCCCGACGGGCGAGGGCGCGAGCGACAATCGGGCTTCGGCAGCTGGTTTTTGCCTTTATTATCTTTGCTACTGCCGACACTGGAGGTCAGATTTCCATTGGACTTCAGGTTCGCGCGGGCATCGGCTCGGTGGATGCTGGAGCTCAGCGCGGAGTGCGCGACAAAGGTCAATTCGACAAACTGTTGAAATCTGGGGTGGGGTGGGGGGGGGGCGGGCCTGCGGCCTGGGGCCCCTGCAGATTCTTACTTTGGAAATGGATGCCATGGGCGTTGGAGGATCTACCATGTTTATCTCCAGCTGGAAACTGCCAATCGCTGTGGCGAAGAACTGCGGTGCCCTCTCGGTGCATGTGACTGCCTGTGGTGTGCCCCTACTTCTCCCAGTGGAATGCTCAGACAGCTCGGCGCGGTTCTTGATTGGCCAGGTGGCGCCGTCGCTTGGAAGGCGCTCGGCGGCGGCCAGTCGAGAGTCTATGAGACAGGGGCAGGCAAACGCAGCGCGATCAATATCGAGGACGCCGGCGGCGCATCACCGGCCGCTCCCTGAGAGTTTGTCGAAGTGGGGCGGAGCATCGAAAGTCGTGACGCGGCGCGTATGCCAGCTATGAAATGGCCGTCGGGCCATCCCGCCACCGCGTTTGGATTGTGGGGCAGAGTCCTCATGGACTCTTCTTGGAGTGTCTTTGGAGGACTTTGTTTTTTTTGGGGACAGTTTGGGGGTTTCCTGGGAGCCTCTTGGGGCCCTCCTGGGGATTCATTGGGGCTGTCTTGGGTCCTCTTCTGGACTTCCTGGGGGCCTCTTATGCCGCCCTGGGGGGTTCTTGGGACGGAAAGCTCGAAATGTCCCTTCGGGTTCCACTCTGGGCCACCTTTTGGGGCCCAAGAATGTCCGAAGCGGCGCCAGATCATGCGTTGGACAGGCGACGTGAGCGACACGTTGCCGGTTTAGCAAGTATGCGTGCAGGCGCGTAGTTGTGCGAGGAAAGGATCGTTCGAAATTTCAGGAAGGGGAAGGCGGAGGGGTGAAAGAAATTGTGGCGGAGCCACCACGAGGCACAGGGCGTGCGGGTATTTTGGCACTCATCGCCTATTTCTGTCCTGCGCCACTGTTTGCTATCGCGGTGTAGGTGGACCCATGTTGGAGCTTTCATGGGTGAGTTTGGGCGTTCGGTCTCTTGGTGCCCCCCTGCCGGACGAAGGGCGAGGCAGACGAAGATCAGTAGCCTCCCTGGAGGGGAGGCAGGAGAGTGGCCACGGAGTTCAGGAATGAGTCAGAGTCCTCATGGAGCCCCCCTGGGGTTTCTTCGAAGGGCTCTCGGGGGCCATTGCGAGGCAGTTCGGGAGCTTCGTGGGGGGTTCCCGACAGTATCTGGGGAACCTCTGGGGGCGTTCTTGGGGCGTCTTGAGTGCTTCGTCGTGGGGGCCTCTGAGAGTGTCCAGGGAGTGCTCTGGGGAACGTCTGCGTGGCAGTGTGAGGTTCTCTTGGGGGCCTCTGGGGAGCGTGTTGGGGACCTCAAGGGGTCCTTTCGGGGGCTCGTGTGTTTTTTGTTGGGGCTCTTTGGGCTCTCCTGGGGGTGTCCTGGGATAGAGCACCTACGGCCAGCCTGACGGAATGAAAAGGGCTCGCCGTGTGTTTCGATTTTTGTTGTGTGCGAGGGCGAAGTGTGCGAACGGTGGCACTGTGACCTGGGGCGGTCGGTAGCCCTGTGCCCAAGCTCATTGGAGGCTCCAGGTGCCTCTGGCAAGTCCGCCATTGTCCCACGAGGCGGAGAGCTGCCGACTGGAACATGGGGTGAGCGGTAGCCCTGTGGCAAGGCTCACTGGAATGTCCAGCTGTCTCTGGCAAGTCCGCCGTTGTCCCACGAGGCGGAGGGCTGCTGACCAGACGGGGTGGCCCCGACCACACAGCCAAGAAATTGCTTAAGGCCGATGTCGCCAGGGTGCTAGGGTTGTGGGTGAGAATCCTCATGGAGCTTTTCCTGGAGTCTCTTCGATGAGCTCTCGGAGGCCTTTGCGAGGCTGCTTGGCATTCTCTTGGGGCCTCGAGAGAGCTTAGGGGCAACGTTTTGGGGTGTTCTTGGAGCGCGTTGGGGGCTTCGTCGGGCAGGCAAACGCAGCGCGATCAATATCTACAGGCTGCCGCCTCTGCCGCCGACCCCAAACAAGGCAGGGGGGTCGCGCGGGTGACCGCGCCCGCGCGACGACGTCGTCAAACAGCGCACCGCGACGGCGAATGATGTCGGCATGCGGCGCGAGAGGCCCTTTCGGCGGAGTCGCGCGCCGGCTGGGAGGGGCCGGCAGGGTTGGCGGGGTGGCCGCGGCAACTTACGCCCAGAGTGTTTCCAGGGGGCTGGCGGTGACTGGCGCGGTGTCAGGCGCTGTGTTAGGCGCGGTGGGGGCGCGGCGGGGAGGCGGCGGGGGCGCGGCGGGGGCGCGGCGGGGGCGCGGTGGGGGCGCGGCGGGCTGGGTGCCGGCGAGGTTTTTGCAGGGCGGGCGGGCCCTGAGAACCTCACTGAGCCCAGAAGCTCAGGGGGGCTGGCGGAATCAGGCGCGGCGCCAGGCGCGGCGCCAGGCGCGGTGCCAGGCGCGGCGGGGGCGCGGCGGGGGCGCGGTGGGAGCGCGGCGGAGGGGGGGGAGGGGGGGGGGGGGGGGGGGCGAAGTTTTTATAAGGTGGATGGCCGGTTCCAGGCAGGCGGCGTCTGGCGCGGCGTCAGGCGCGGTGTCGGGCGCGGCGGGGGCGCGGCGGGGGCGCGGCGGGGGCGCGGCGGGGGCGCGGTGGGGGCTCGGCGCGGGCGCGGTGGAGGGGGTGCTAGCGAGGTTTTTGCTGCGCGGGTCGGCCCCGAGAACCTCGGCCCAGACGCTCGGGGCAGCTGGCGGTGTCAGGCGCGGTGTCCGGCGCGGTTTCCGGCGCGGCGTCAGGCGCAGCGGGGCGCGGCGGGGGCGCCGCAGGGGCGCGGTGGGGCCGCGGTGGGGGCGGGGGCCGGCGAGGTTTTTACGGGGTGGGTGGCCGCGGGGACTCATGCGTGGAGTTTCTGGGCGACTGGCGGTGTCTGGCGCGGTGCCGGGCGCGGTGTCGGGCGCGGTGTCAGGCGCGGCGGGGGCGCGGCGGGGGCGCGGCGGGAGCGCGGCGGGGGCGGCGGAGGGGGTGCCGGCGAGGTTTTTGCGGGGTGGGTGGGGGGAACCAAATCCCAGAAGCTCCAGGGGGCTGGCGGTGTCTGGAAGGGTGGGTGGCCGTAAGAACTTATGCCCAGAGGCTCCGGGAGACCGGCGGTGTCTGGCGCGGTGT